GGGGGGGGAAGCAGGAAAACTCTACCAACACCAAAATCGCTGCGCTGCCAAGCTTTTTTTGGGACAAGAGTGGCACGTTCAGGGACAATTTCAGGGGATGGCAACCCCTGTCCTGCTGCCTGTCCCTGGAAACCTCGGCTGGAGCGGCCCTGGGAATTCCTTTGGATCCCGGGAGGGGCAGGGGATGGGAAGGGAGCTGTGCCGGGGGTCCCGCCCCCACGCCTGAAAGATGCGGAATTGGCCCAAAAAAAGGTGTTGGACCCTCTCCCTTGGAGGCTCGGGCTTGTCCCCGAGGCCACCCAGACACGGGGCACCCACCCGCTCAAAGGGAGCTGCCAAAAGAGTTAGTTTTGGGGTGGATGGGGTTCTCACCTCTCGTTTTCCTCTCTGTTTTCCATCTCCAGTTGAAATCCTCGGAAGAAAAAGCTCTGTTACACAGCTCACCTGGAGAAGAAACTCTCTCCCTCTCTTTCCCTTTTGGAGGGTTTTCCCCTCCAAGCAAAGGGGTAGTGTTGTTAAATAATAGTGGGGGTTGTGGGCTCCCAGTGTAGGAATCCACGACAAGGTATCTGTGAAAACATGATCTGAATATTTAAGTGATAAATTGTGTTATTTATTCTCCTGATTCATTTTAGTCCCGACGAGGATTTTTTAGGAAAAGGGTGACAGGGAAATCCCTGCAGCCACCGCGGACTCACAGCGAATCCACCTCGATAGATTTGGGCCACCCTTGCAGCACCGTGATTTTCTCTTTTTCTGTCGGGATTCTTTTGAAAACATTCGTAAATCTGCCCTTTCTCCAAACCACCGCAATTTGTTGGAAACACAACACGCTCCCCTCTCCCTTTCCTTTGCCATCCCGTCGTTTGTCTCTATATTTTGTTCACAGGACACAGAAATGTCCCACATAAATTCCTTTTCGGGATTAGCGATCGCGGAGCTCGTTGAATCGGACCCGTTAGGACCTGCCTTGATATACAGCTAATCTTCCGCAAAAAATAAATATATCTATATATAAATAAAATATCTTTCCCCTATATATCTATTTATATCTATTATTTTTTACCTCTGCTCGTATGTCCAGTTTCGGCGGCGGGCGGAGGTTGCATTGACTTTTGAGAATTTCCCCGAAAAGCTGAAGTTTCTTTTCGACGGCTGGTTGAGGTTTTTTCGGGTTTGGGGATTTTTTGCTGTTGTTTTTTGTTTTGGGTTTTTTTTCCCTAAATTAATTTCGTTTGTTTTGCTCTGCAAAAAGACCCAGCCGGAACACGCTTCAGTTAAAATGAAAATAAAAATACAGCGGTGGGTTAAATCTCAGAGAGGGGCACGGGGCTGCTGTTTTCCCCTATTTTGCGGGTAAAAAGGGCAGAGCGGGAGGGAAAAACGGGGCACATCTCTTTTCCCTCAGCTTTCCTTGACCTGCGAGCCTAAATCCAGCCAAAATCCCACCCATTCCCTGCTTGCCTTCCCTGCAGAAGCCGCTGTCTCCAGGGGACGGGCGCGGTGCCGGTACCTGAGCCAGGAGGGGATGGATTTGGGGCCATTTGGGACCGTGCGGGGCAATCCTGGAACCCTGCAGGGCTCCACTCGCCCGCATCCCGGGCTGGAGGTGCCGCATGTCCCCGCTCGCCATCCCGGGGGCTGCGGTGGCCCGGGCAGGGTGAAGAGAGCGGCCTCGGCCGGGCCGGGCTCTCGCTGCTCTGATGGGATCATTGCAGAGCCCGGGCGAGCTTCAGCAAACTCGCTCGCCCGCCGGCCAGGCCTCTGGAGGGGATTAATGTGAAGGACCGGGGCACTGTGCCTCCCATCCCCCTCGGGATGCGGAGCCGCGTCTCGCCGGGCTCTCCTCTCCTCTCCTCTCCTCTCCGGGCTGGCTCAGGGGACTGGGGCTGTGTCCCCGTGCGGGTGGGACAGGGACACACGCGTGGCTTTTTGTCCCCAAAGAATGCTCAAAGGCTCCCGTCAGGTTAAACCCGGCCGCGCACGGCTCAGTCCTGCCCGGGCTGGGCTTAATTCCCTCACTCGGGACATGACGAGAGACTCAGGCATGGCTTTTGTGACAACGCTCTGCAGAGGTGGCCCCGAGCTCTCCCAGGGAGGGGGCCCGGGGGTCCCGGCATCTTCTTCATTGGCCTCATCCTCCCCCGGGCGCTGCTCCGGCAGCTCCGGGGTTAAGCCCCGGTCAGCGGAGCCCGGCGGGGGCTGATGAGCAGCGGCTGCCGGCGGGGCGGCTCCGCCGGAGCTCGGCCCCCTCCTCGGCGTGTACGAGGGGAATGTGTATATATTAGTGTACAAATGCGTGTGTAAATGTGTAAAATGGGTGTTACACAGGCAGTACCAATGAGTGCCGCGTCTATCCGAGCCACGCGTGCCCGTGCGTGTGTCCAGGTACGCTTTACCCAGACCCAGAACAACGCGGGAAGCTCTCGGGTGGTTTCCCGGCGGTGCCGCGGGGCTGGGGAAGGGCCCCACGCGTGTCACAACCCCACACCCCCCGTGTCCCCTCCCCGGAGGGCAGCTGCGCCCCGGCTGGGGCGACAAGGCCCCCTCGGGGTCACCGAGAAGGGCAGAGAGGGGCAAGGGGCTCCGCCGGGAGCGGGCTGGGGTTGCCCCAGGCGGCGGCCCCCGCCCCCGGCTCCCCCCGGGCCGGCCTCCCGTCCCCTCGCAAGTGCTAATTGCGGCTCTGCGCTGGCTCCTCTGGATTTGGGTCCCTCGGAGGGCGCTGCGCGGGAGGACACGTCACGGATACATTATCCCCTCCCCTCTTGAGGCTCTCCTGGCTTTCTGCAGCCTTTGCTAAAGAATTAAGCGAGAGGTCCACTTCAGAGCTCCTTCTGCCCCTGGGAAAAAAAAAAAATAAATAAAAAAAGGCGAGGAAAGAAAAGGAAAAAAAAAAAAAAAAAAAAGCTCGGCTGCCCCGCAGCCCCGGCGCCGCCGGAGCCCCTCGGGCACGGGCGGAGCAGCAGCGCCCTTCGGCCCGAGCGCAGCGGAGAGGCGGAGGGGAAGGAGAGCCGCTGATCCCGGAGCACTCCACCATCAGCTGCCGCCGCAGGCACCGGCTTTGACTTTGGTTCGGCGGGGAGCTCGTCGTGTCCTCGGCATCTCGGGCTCCGGGACCAGCTCATTTTGCACTTCGTTCGACGAGCAGCGCGGTCGTTCTGTTTCCCTTTCTTTTTTTTTTTTTTTTCGGGGTTTAAAAAAAAAAAAAAAAAAAAAAAAAAAAAAGCTGAGATATCGGTGCTTTCAGACGAGGAGCGTGGCGGCTGTGATTTCCGAGAGGAGGGGAATTTTACCTTCGATCCTTGCCGAATTGCGGGAGGTGAATGTAGCAAACCCTCCCCTTGCCTTTGAAAGGCATGTCTCTGCCAAAGAGCTACCGCTTCGCTCTTCAAATACCTGACAAATAAAAAAGAAACAAAAAAAAATAGAGAGAGGAAAGACTCCTATCTTTCAAATTATTTTTCTTTAAAAAAGAAAAAAAAACCCAACAAAAAAACCAACCAAACCAATAAATAAAAGCAACAAAATCAATGCCGCGCCTTTGCCAGCGCTCGGACTTGTTTGGAAAGAGACAACGCTGAAGTGGCACTGATCCCGAGGAAAACGGATCCTTTAATTTGACTCCGCATGAGAAGCGCATTTGGAGCCGGGCGCAGCGGCCGCAGCGGCAGGAGCAGCCCCGCAGCCCCCGCAGCCCCCGCGGGGCTCGGCGGCCCCGCAGCCCCGGCGCCGCCGGAGCCCCTCGGGCACGGGCGGAGCAGCAGCGCCCTTCGGCCCGAGCGCAGCGGAGAGGCGGAGGGGAAGGAGAGCCGCTGATCCCGGAGCACTCCACCATCAGCTGCCGCCGCAGGCACCGGCTTTGACTTTGGTTCGGCGGGGAGCTCGTCGTGTCCTCGGCATCTCGGGCTCCGGGACCAGCTCATTTTGCACTTCGTTCGACGAGCAGCGCGGTCGTTCTGTTTCCCTTTCTTTTTTTTTTTTTTTTTTCCTTCTCTTGAGAGACAAAATGTCCAAAAATGGTTCAGCCTGCTTAGCCCAATGATTTCTTGCACGGACGCTCTATTTTCTTTTTTCTTCTTCTTCTTCTTTTTTTTTTTTAATTAAAATCAATGCCGCGCCTTTGCCAGCGCTCGGACTTGTTTGGAAAGAGACAACGCTGAAGTGGCACTGATCCCGAGGAAAACGGATCCTTTAATTTGACTCCGCATGAGAAGCGCATTTGGAGCCGGGCGCAGCGGCCGCAGCGGCAGGAGCAGCCCCGCAGCCCCCGCAGCCCCCGCATGGGGCAGGATCGAGTAGAAGAAATCGTTCGGTGAAGGGAACCCAGCGGTTTGCTCCCCATTAAGGAGAAGATCAAGATCCGATTCCCAGCTGCACGCAGAGGACGGGGATTGCCGTGGGTCTTTCAGTCTGGCTTTCAAAGCCCTCTCTGCTGCAGGGTCGGAGCAGAACTGCCTTCTCCGAGCAGCTTTCCTGTCCTGCTTGCAGCTCAGAGATCGCCTCCCCCCCTCCTCGCACCATTTCTGTTCGTGTTAGTTTTGTTCGGTTGGTTTAGCTTTATTTTTTGCCTCCCCTTTTTTGTCTTTTTTTTTTTCCCGACCCTTTCGTTTATTATTATTATTAATTATTTGATTTGATTTGGGTAAATTGCCTTCCTTAAACGAAAATACTAACTCTGCAGTCGAAATCCATGCCCCCTGCCATTCGAAAGAACCGGGTCTAATATGCCAGTGACATCCGCGCCTTGCAGCAGTCGCGATGAAGGAAAAATCCAAGAACGCGGCAAAGACTAGACGGGAAAAAGAAAATGGAGAATTCTACGAACTGGCCAAACTCCTGCCCCTGCCCTCGGCCATCACCTCGCAGCTGGACAAGGCGTCCATCATCCGCCTCACCACCAGCTACCTGAAAATGCGAGCCGTCTTCCCCGAAGGTAAAGGCAGCCCCGGGGCTCCGGGAGCCCGCACGGGAGGGACGGGGAGAGAGCAGGGAGGGGGTGCTGGGGTGGGCACGACCCCATCAGCGCCCTGGCAGGAGGGAGGGGGTGCCTGCAGGGGTCTCAGAACGGGCTGAGCGAACGAGGGGGGATTGAGGGCAAAGTGGGCTGGGAATGAGCCCGTCTGCGGCCGTGGGAGGCAGAGCCGGCCGCTTCATCCCCCCTTTCTCCCCCTCCTTCTCGGCTCAGCTCCGTTGGCTCGGGGGGACCGTCCCGATGAGAGCGGGCTCGGTTCGTGTGTGCAGCCCCGGCCCGGCTCCCGGGGACTGCCCCTGGGCACGGCGCTTCCCGTCCGGGCACGGCCTCGGGTTAAAAAACCAGCTGTGTGGTTGTTATTATTATTTTGTTTTGGTTGGAGTTCTCTGGAGCCGGGGAAGCAGGCAGGGAATGAAGGCGCGGCCGCTCCGCAGCGAGGCCCTGGGAGAGAGGGGAAGGAAGGGAAGGAGCGCCCGAGCCCAGCCCGGCCCGGACCCCGCTGCTCCCCGGCCGCGGCTGGGCTCCCGTGGCTCTTCTCGGGGGCCACCCAGCAGCGAGGCCCGGCACCAATCCCACAGGGTTTGGGGAAAATCGTCCCCTCGGGAGGCCGGGGCCGGTGGCCGTGCGGAGCCCCGGCCGCCCGGGCAGTCGGTGCGGCCGCGGAGCTGATGCGAGCGGCGGAATGAAGCGCTGGGCAGTGCCTGCGGGTGGCTAAATAAAGCCCAGCAGCCCCGCTTTGTCATTTGTTTGTGCCTCTCCGAACTAGGAGCAGGGTGAAGGAATTAGCGAATTCCGCAGGGGAAGGTCTGCTCTCCGGCGCGGTTTCTAAGGAGCTTTATTAAAAGGCTAAAAAGAAAAACACAACCAAAAATAAAATAGGGGGAGGGCGGGGGAAAAAAAAACAACCCTCCCAACCCGAGCAAAGCTTACCGTCGTGGCCTTTTAATTCAGAAATTTCGGGAGCACGGAGCAGCCATGCTATTATGGAAAGCCAGGGCTCCTTTAGTGTGCGCTCCCGAGCCAGCAGAGCAAAGGGAGCGAGGCGCTGCTCCGCCGCATTTTCCAGCCATTATTCCCCACCGGGAAATATCCCGATGAGAAATAGAGCGTCGTAATTTCGAGGGGGGCTGTGGGGAGGTCACTCGCCGGCCGTGCCTGGCGAACGTGCCCCCGAACGCCTTTGATTCAGGAGGGAGGAAAAGCGGCACGTTTCGAGATGCTGCTGGATGCATCCCGGCTTTTCCAGCCCTGCTGATCCTCAAGAGCAACGAGCCGACCCCGAGAGCAGGTTTATACCCACAGCTCGGGTGTGTTTTATGTGTCTGTCTTCCCTAAACAGGCCGGGCGTGCGCTTCCGCACACTCTGCTTATTAAGGGCAACGTTTAAATGCATACAGCGAATTCCTGATCTTTCATCGTCTTAAGTACGGCTGGAAATACATTTAAAACCAAAGCTTTGCATTCAGAGATGACAGGCCGGGGGAATTACCTCCTCCGGTCCCCGAGCCCTGCGTTTAGTGCCTGGCAGGGTGCAGGGGAAAGTGGGGAGCCGGGCAGAGGCGGCTTCAGAAGGATTTTTTTTTTTTGGGTGGGGGGGGTGGTGGTTTCTTCCATAGAGTCCAGCATCACCCAAACTTCCCTCTCCCTCGGGATTTGCCCGTGAAAGGAGGGGAGACTGGTCCCCATCCGTCCGTCCTTCTGTCCGTCCTTCTTCCCCCCTCCTCATACCCGGCTACTGGTTTCCAGTTGGCTTTACTGGGAGGGGAAACAGCCCGGAAAGGCGTCCCAGCTTAAATCCTGGCCCAGCCAGAGCCGGGGGAAGAGCCCCATGGCGAGGGTTGGACCCGATGGGTCCCGGGCCGGGAAATGAAGGTGGGCACGTAGCAGCAGCTCGGGCTGCCCCAGGCGTCACCCCCTGAGGCTCCGAGGGGTGACAGGGTGGGGGGGACAGGTCTGAGACGCCACCAGACCGTGCTAGGCCCGGACTAACTGCGGCCAGCACGGCCAGAAACGCTGTTCAGCTTCAGACCTGGCTTACAGCTCCGTCTAGACTGGAGGGGAAAAGAGAGAGAGGGAGGGAGGGAGGGAGAGAGGGTTGTGTTTTTAAACCCTTCGGTGGATGGCTCACCCCTTGATTTCCACACGTAGTTTAGGAAAAGTTTGAGACCCTCAGCGAGGCGACTGATCCCCACAGGGCTTGGGCCAGGTCTCCTGCTCAGCCTGGCCAGGCTTTTCCCGAGGATGGACCGAACCCGCTCAGACTCCAAGGAGCGAGAGCAAAAGGGGATTTTTACCCCGGCTCCTTTCGCCCTCGCAGCCCAAGCCCTGCAAGGGACAAGTTCGGGCTCCGAAATCGCAGATTGTGCCCTGCGGTACCGCTGCGACCTTGAGATTCAGGAGTTAAAGTCAGGACACAGCAGCCTCCAGCCTCCCACTCTCTAACGCCGTCTTCTCTCGTGTTTTGGGTGTTTTTTTGTTGTTGTTGCCACGGCTTTGTTGCTGTAGAACAAAAATACACCAGGAGTCGTCTTCTATCTCTGCTGTCAGAATTTTTTTAAATTTTATTTTTATTTTGAAAAGGAGGTAATGAAAGAAAGAGAGGAGAGAATGAATCGCGTTTAAAAACTGCGATTCTCTGCCCCCCGGTTACGGCAGACTGGTGAAATCGTCACCCTCTCCCTCCCCCATCCCCGACTCAGTGCCCAAAACCGATTATGAAATTGCACATTTATGGTTGTTTAAACCGGATGGGAGCCAGCTAATTAATATGTGACCCAAAATACAATGTGCGCAATACAAAATAATCTGAATAAAGTGACGGAGCGGTAGATCTCAGACCTTCCTTATTCCGAGAGGCAGACAATAGAAATTACTAGGAATATTCACAGTCTTCAGTCCCCATTTAAACCTAGCCACGAATGTGTATTTTAAGAAAATCAAGGCGAATCGCAGCTAATTCATCTGATTGTCACACGCACTCGGAAAAAGGTTCGTTAATGAATTAAACAAATAAATAAAGCGAGAGGCGTGAGTAATCCTTTTTGGAAAGCCAGCCCCTATTGTACTAACCACTAATAGTGACATTAAAGGTCTTACTAAAACAAAAGTGCTTTTTTAAGGCTTTTCCTGGGGCCGTTCCCAGGCGGCGGGAGCCGGTGGCCCCGCGGTGCGGGGACGGGCGGCGGGGTCGGGGCGGGGACGAGCGGCGGGGTCGCTCCGGTCTCTCCCGGCCGGAGGGGAGGGAGGGAGAGGAAGGGATGGGGTCACTGCCGTGGGTCTGCCCGTGACCTCCCTGTCTGTAGGACGCCCGCTTTGGGCCCTCTTGACACGACCTGGTGGGTTGGGCTCGGCGGGGAGAGCCGGGTTTGCGCGGGTGTCCTTGGGGGGCAGATTTGTTAGAGTATTTTTCCCCCACTTTTTTATTTTTATTTTTTTTTTTCTCTGAGTTCACCCTTTTATTTATTTATTTTTTTAATTTTATTTTTATAAAATAAAAGTCTTGATCTTTCCGCCTGTCCTTCCCACCGCCTTCCCGACGCTGAGCCCGCAGAGAGGAGCGGGCGGCTCCGCGCGTCCCTGCCCGGCCCCGCTCCTTCCCAGACCGCCCCTGTCCTGGGGGCTTCCCCCCTCTCAGGGGTTCCCCTGGCCGGGCCCGAGTGTTCCCCGCTGGCTCCGGACCCATCGCGGCCCCCGGGATCCGGCGGTGCCGTCGGGGCTGAGATGCCCCGGCCCCGCTGCAGACGGGGCTCGGTGTCAGCGCTGCCCTCGCCCCCTCCTCACGGGGTGACAGCAGAGCCTCGGAGCTCGCCTCAACGAAGGGCACAAAGCTCGGTGAAGCTCGGGGATACTCCTCGGGAATGTCCCCGAGGCACTCCCATCCGAGGGAGGCACAACCGCGCTGGGGAAAACCCAAAAAGCAGAATTGACGGCGAGTCCCCAGGGTTTGTCGTTGTTCCTTGTGAAGGCTGGGGGACCTTGCGCTGCGGGGAACAGCCCAGCAGACACAAAGGAAAGAGTCCAAGTTACAGGGCAACCCGATACTGAACGTAATACATGGCTGAGTAATTCTTTTAGCAGAATCCCAAGCTGAAAAGCTACCGGGCTTTCAAATGTGTGTGTGGACGAACTTCTGTATGCCGAGAGCAAAGGTGGGAGCCGTTCCCAAATATTTCTAGATCTTGTTACAGTTCCACTCACCCCGCTGGCTCCCTGGAAACCGGGAAATGTACAAATGGCACAAAGTGAGTGCTGAGGTACTTTGAAAAACAGCCAGAGATGTCAAAAGGGACGGAGGGCGATTTTGTCCGTGTTTGCACGGGGAGCGAGACGCGTTTGTACGAAAATCCCCCAGTTTTTCAACGGCAAAAGCAGCAGAAATTTTGGGGGGTTTGTTTAAAACCCTCTCTGACTCCGGGCCGGAGCTGTCGGAGCCGGAGCTGCCTCCCGGTGCCCGGAGGGGTCCGGCGGGCACAGCTGCGCTTGGGGCTCGCCCTGCCAGGCATCCCGGTCCTGCCCCGTCGGACCGGACAGACACCGGTCCGAGCACCAGGAAAAGCAGGAGAGAGGCTCATCTCGCCCGTGTCTGCTGCGGTGGGATGCCAGAAAAGCGGAGGTTGAGCCTGGGACTGGGCAGGCACCGTCCCGCAGGGCTGTGCGGGCTCTGCCGCTGAGCCCAGCCCCGGCTCTCCGGGCTTCCCGCTGCCGGAATCCCCCCAGCTCGCTGGATCTGGGTGATCCCTGAGCCCCTGGCACGGCAAAGGAGCGGCGCCGGTGCCGGGCCATCCCCATGGGTGATCCCAGCGTTTGCGGGGAGGATGCTCCAGGGAATTCTCTCGGGGCCGGGCAATTCCTGCTGCGAGGGGACATCTGGAACTGTCCCCTTCCAAAACGCCCGTGCGGTGACAAAGCCGTGTGGGACACCGGGCAGCATCCCCAGACTGGGATCGCCTCCCATCCCAGTCAAGTCCCATCCCGCAGGAGCGGTGCGGGAAAGGCTCGCTGTGAATCCGCAGCGATTTTGGCCTCGCTCCAGGCCAGGGAGAGAATTTGCGCGTTATTTCCCGGCCGGGCAGGAGCAGCCAGGCCCAGCCTATGGCATCCATACATTTACAGGAACGCGCGTTTGCAAATGTCTCGGAGGAGAAGTTAATGGGCGTTAGTCCTTTATTCGAATGTAAGGTTTTATTCGTTTCGTCTTCACCTTTAAAGCGATCTGCTGGCGGATTAAATGATAAAATCGCCGGCTTTAAAATAAGCTCAGACGAATGCCAGGCTGATCCACCGAACGTGTTTACGTTTGATGCGCGTTCGCGATTGCGACTCCAATTTAAAATTCCAAAGGGAGCAAATCTGAGCAAGTGACATTTTTTTATTCCGGGCTAGGAGACAACCTCAAAACTCGTGCAGATTTTGGGATGCTGAGAAAGGACAGGACGGAGCGAACTGTCTCGCACGGGGGTCGCAGAGACGAGGCTCCTTCTTGAAGAGTTTCGTGAGAGATCAAGGAATAAATCTGCTCCGACTTTCGGAATGGAAGAGCTCAGGGCAGTTTTTACACAGCTGTGTGTGACTCTCTTTGTAGGTTTGCAGTCTCATATTTGGAAATTTGTAATTAGTAAATCGAAATAAGGGCAAATCCCGCGGCACAGGGACAGACTCTGGAGTTTGCATTTGTTGCCGTCTCGGGAAAGAAACTGCAGGATGACTCCGCGATTCCCAAACTTTTTCTCCCGAGAAACAAAAAAGCATTTTAGCAAAAAGGACATTTTTGCCGTGTCTTTGGAAGTTTAGGAGCCTTTTCCAAACGGAGAATTGGGGAAAGGCGGAGAAAAGAGCGAATTTTCGTTTGGCTCTCCCGAACAAATTTCCCAGCGCTTCTTTCAGCGCAGGGAAGGTGTGCTTCCCTTTCCCACGGGAAAACGCCGGAATTCCCGGAATTTGGAGAGACGGACACGGGGTGGGGATGCAGACCCCTCTTTTTGGGTGCTCCTGCTGCCTTGGGACGGCGAAAAGGAGGGGTCAAGGCCGGCCCAGGTCCCCGGTGTCCCCTGCCTGGCACGGGAAGCTCCTTACCGCTTTCCCGGAGGGAGCGGGATACGGAGCCAAGCACCGGGAAGGGAATTAAAACCCGGGGGAAAGCACCGTCTCCAGCGGGAGATGCTGCCCTTCCCAAGGGATGCCCCAAGAGTGGAGAGAAATCCCCCCATCATTCCCAAACCGGGTTTAAGTGGCCAGAGCACAAACGGATCCGGAATCGCGGAGCTGGAGCTCAGGGCAGGAATTTCTGCCAGTTTCCCCTCCCGTTCCGGAGGCACAGCCGGGAGAAAGGAGATTTCTTTGGAAGCCCCTGGGCGGCCAGAGGGGGAAAACGCGAGTTTTCATAGCGGGGCATCCGCGAAACAGGCCGGAATTCCAGGCTGGCAGCACCGAATCCCCGCCTTCCATCCACTGCTACCTGCCAAAAAAACCGCTTTTTGGGTTTTGAGGCCTCCCCGAAGCCGAGGGCTGTTTTTTCTCTCCATAAACGAGGCACTGAACGGATGCGGTTCCGTCCTTCCTTCCCCTGCACCCCCGGGGGCAGTGACCCCTGTGCCGCGGGGTGCCCCAGGAGTGCCCAGCCCTCGGCACGGCACGGGCGCGGCCTCGGCTCCTCGGGGAGCCGCTGAAAGGCTCCTTTTTACCCTGGAAAATCAACCATCCAACCAACCAACCAACCCACCAACCAACCAACCAACCAACCCAACCAGCGCACAAACCCAAAGCCCCGCTGCCCCTCCTCGCCCCAAGACGGCTCCATCAGGAACCTTCCACTGGCCCGGGTGGGCTCGGGCTGTGGGTCGGGTTTGGGCTCGGGTTTGGGCTCGGGTTTGAGTTCGGGCTGTGTGTTCGGGCTGTGGGGTCAGGCTGTAAGCTCGGGCTGTGGGCTCGGGTTTGGGCTCGGGTTTGTGTTCGGGCTGTGGGATCAGGTTTGGGCTCGGGTTTGGGTTCGGGCTGTGGGGTCAGGCTCAAGCTCGGGCTGTGGGCTTGGGTTTGGGTTCGGGCTGTGGGATCGGGCTGTGGGATCAGGTTTGGGCTCGGGTTTGGGTTCGGGCTGTGGGTTCGGGCTGTGGGATCAGGTTTGGGCTCGGGTTTGGGTTCGGGCTGTGGGTTCGGGCTGTGGGGTCAGGTTTGGGCTCGGGTTTGGGCTGGGGCTGTGGGGTCGGGCTGAGCGGTCGATGGGGCCGGAGGGCGAAGCTCTGTCGGTCCCGTCCGTGCGCAGGTGAAACCGGGGCGGTTTTATCTCCAGTCGAGCTCCGGCCCTCTTTAACCTCCTCCTCATCCTCTTCCTCTTCCTTGGCCACCCCGCTCACAGGGACAGGGACAAAGACAGGGACAGGGACAGGGGACGGTGCAAGGACGGGACGGGCCCGCGGGCGGTGGGAGCGGCTGCGGCCGTGTCCCTGGAGGGGCCCTCCCGGGAATTCGGGGAAAGCGCATCCACGGGGATGCTCCGGTCCAGAAAAAGAACAATTTCCCCCCAAAGCCCGTGTGGAGAAGGGACTCAGCCTTTGCCACCGCGGGAGGAGGGGGAGCAGGGGCACGGGGGACAGCTCGGGCTCCGCTGCCTGCTCTGACCAAATCCTTGGGGTTTTTTTTTTTGTAGGTCTGGGCGACGCCTGGGGACAGCCGAGCAGGATCGGGCCTTTGGATAACGTGGCCATGGAGCTGGGATCCCACTTGCTTCAGGTAGTGTTGTATTGCACTAAACAGCTTCTCATTTTCAGCTTTGCAAGGTAGCGCACGCCTTCCTGCGCTGCACGGAAAACCCGAGGTTCAGGGGCTGCCTCTGCTCCTTTTCTCCCTCCTCCTCCTCCTCCTCCTTCTCTTCCTCCTCCTCCTCCTCTCACTGGAGCCTGGCTGAAGCCTTCATCTCGTCGGGCTGGGAGAGCAGAAAACCAGAGGCACCAACCACTTCTATTCCAATTATTTCATTATTTTTCGCCTTTGGAATGGGCCGAAGCAAGAGGCGCTCATCCCCTGTGCACGCCCAGCTCTCCCAGCCCTAAAAGTTTCCATCAGCCGCCCCAAAAGTGCCGGGATGTCCCCAGGGAGCCCCCGGGGGAGGGGACCGGTGTTCCCCGCTGGTGACTCGGGAGGGGACACCTGGAAGGGGACAACACCTGGATTGGATCTCCCGGGACTTTAACACCTGAAAATCCCGCTGTTCACAATCCCGGTGATCTGCTCTGGAATTCCTCTGAATTTAGAAAGTCGTAGCCGGAGCGAGGGTGCAGGAGGGATTAAAAAAATTACGTTTAACTCAATTTTATTTTATATATATATATATCTATATACACACACACATGTATATATATATATGTATATATGCATATATCTATCTATCGATATATCTCTCTATATATGTATATAGATATAGATAGAGAGATATTTTTATTTTCAGAGATATATTTATATTTATTTTTATTTTTATATAATTTTATATAATTTTTAAAATTAATTCATTTAATTTTTTAACACGTGAACCAAACGCAGCGCGGGTTTTCTCCCCCGATTTTAAAGAGCCACTAAACCGGAATCATTTAGCGGGCGGGTTTATTGTGGGAGGCGAATTCCTGCTCACAGAGCTGGGGCTGTTTTCACTCCTTCGCTCTGCCAGGGATAAAAACCCGACAGAAATTCCCTGCCCGGGCTCCGCTGCCGCGGTGCCGCCGCTCCGACCTTTGGAACGACGAGCGCAGTTCTTTATTTGCCTCCACAGAGCATCAGCCGCTCTCCCGCGGGCAAAAATGAGATTTTTGGGAGGCACTGACAACATCCAGGCAATGGCAGAGCTCAAAATGATCTCCTGGGGAGGCATTTCCAGCCTTGGGATTTTATTTCTAGTAGCTGCTGCCCTCTCAGCTGTTTCAGAGTCACGAGTCCACCTGGAAATGCTGAATTGTTGTGTAAAATAATCAGTATGATAATTTAATTTATATATTAAAATACAGAGCCAATTGTATAAATCGTTGCTGTTACTCCTCCTCCTGGCTGCTCCCCGTTTTGTCTGGCATTAATTGAATTTATCACGAATTAAATGCTGACCACCTGTAACTCTCATTTTACAGTCCAGCTGTTTCTGAATGATGAATGCTGAAGGTTTTAATAAAACCACATTTGCTGCAAACCTTTTTTTTTTTAAAGTGTTTTTAGACTGAGATTTTCCATTGAATTTTCAGCTTCAATGTGCTTCCCCGTACATGAAATTTTGGGATGTGCTGCAGCAACAGCAGCATTGACCCAAGTTTATTAATGATACAGGGTAAAGCAATTGCCAAACAACAGCGTTTAAAGCAAAATTGTGGCTAAAACTGCAATAAATTATTTCCCATTATAGTATTTCTACAAAATTTAATTTATGCTTTAAAAAAATGGGAAAGAGTAATCTGGTTTCAATTATATGCTGTAGAATCATCAGTAGGCCAGAGAATAATTTGGAATATTTTCTTATTGGGGTGGCACTAGAGGTGCATGAAGTAGACAGGATTTTATTGCTTCTCTTCCAGTTCAGTGACTTCAAATGGATTAAAACAGGTGGTTGTTTTACTTATGTACAGTAAAAATTGTTTTTCTCTTCCAAATATATTTTCCAGTGATATTCACATGTGGGAATATTCACTGATATTCAAATGCCACGTGTTGATCAAAGCTTTCTGTGCTGGGTAGGGAGAATGCAGAGTTTTTGCTATCAGCTACTTCTGAAAAAATGACTGAAATTGGGCACTGAAAAATCAAGGGCCCCCCAAACTGAGAGGTTTTGTATCCAAATCGTGGCCAGTTTTGGCTGAGCTTTACCACATTATTTATTTTTTTTCTCCTATAAATCATATCTGACTAAATCAAACTTCAGTTTTTACTCACATGGGCAATATTTGCCTCCCAGCCAACATCCTGTCAAGGAGAATTTGTAGGATTGGATCTCAAGTTTGTGTTGGTTGAGGTTTGCAGACTGCAAGGACAAAACTTTATCACACTCAAAGAGGGATATTTGTGCTTATTAATTTTGGATGCTGGCAGAGGATGAGGTGGGTCAGCTTGATTGGGGTTTTTTATGTCAGAAAGTCTCTAAATTGAAGGGAGAGATCATTTATACACAGCTACCCTTGAATTCTTGAGATATATTTGTGCTTATTAATTTTTGGATGGTGATTTTTTTCTGCTTTCTTTTTGGAAGTTCACTTTGTTACAGAGCAGAGAGCTCTCTGTTCAGAAACACAGTCTTGAAAATGCAGCCAAATTTCAACATTGCTCATGATGCCATGAAATAAATTGCAAATAGCAGTGAGCTGGGTCTGCCAATTATGCCATAAAAAATGGCTCAGGTAGGGCCTGACTTCCCCCTGAGAACCACAGGGCTCAGGATTTGGGCTAAGCACTAAAAAAAAAAGCCTGAATCAACAGCAAAATATTCCCTGAAATTGCAGCAGCAAAGCTGCATCTGCAGGGAACGAGGTGGATTTCACAATGAGCCTGAGTCTAAGGGAACAAAATCAGATAAAAGTTTCTATTCCTTAAATTCTGCTGTTTGCTGAAGTCAGAAATCATCCCCCAAAAATACATTTTTTCCCCCACTGTAAATGCTTTAAACAGATTTCTTGCTCCTTACCCTGTGCATTTCTTTTTATTTCAGACTTTGGATGGCTTTGTTTTCGTCGTGGCATCCGATGGCAAAATAATGTACATTTCTGAAACAGCATCTGTGCACCTTGGCCTGTCCCAGGTATGTGTTCTGACACCTAAAACAGGAATAAAATACAACTGCTAAATACAAATTTGGACCCTCACACTGCTACCTTGCTTTTATATAAAGTGTTGGGTTTTTTTCTTTTTCTTTTTTTTTTTTTTTTTTTCCCCCAGGGTTGTTTGAAGCTTTTTTCTCCTTGAAAAGAGCTTTGGTAAAAGACTCAAATTTCCTTTCCTTGCCACCACATCACCCTGTCTTTATATCTGTTCTTGTTCATTGTATTTTACTCCTCATTACCTTTCAGGAGGGCCATAAATAATATGATATTGCAAATTGCAGCTGGAGGCAGGGCCTGAAAGCCAAGCGTGGTAAGGCAGCAGGGCTGAAATAAAACTCAGAATTGGAGTCTGGGAGCCTTAGATTGTGTCAGATATTGAGGCTGCCTGTGAAAGGCACAGAAATCTGATGTGGAACAGGGGCTTTATGGTAAAAGTGCCGGAGGAGGAGGAGAAAAAAAAAAAGAAAATAAAAATTTTTAAAAAAGGACAAAGGGGGCAGATTTATGAGTGTTCACATGGAATTCAGGGCAGTTTTTCCTGAGTTTTTCCAGCTCAGTGGTCTTTTCAGTAAAGCGTTTTATATGGTTGTGATAGAACTCATAAAACTCAGTTTACTACTGTTCTGCACCAGAACTATGAGGGGTTTTATGATTTTTTGTTTTTTTAATTCTTAGATGGACATTTCTAATTTTTTTTTTTTGGGGGGGGGATAGGCAGAAGGGCAAAGAACCTGAATTTATTGCAGAATTTGACTTTCCATGCCTTTGTTTGTAGCTGAAATTCACTGGTAGCACCTGGGACGTTTCTAATTTTTTTTGGGGGGGGGATAGGCAGAAGGGCAAAGAACCTGAATTTATTGCAGAATTTGACTTTCCATGCCTTTGTTTGTAGCTGAAATTCACTGGTAGCACCTGACCCAAAGTTTGCCAAAGTCCCAAGAAAAAAATTCCTCATTAATTTCAGGAGGCCCTGGATGAGACTTGCAAGGAGCTGAAGTGTTCAGTTGTGTATCAAACATTTATAAATAAATAAATGAATTGAAATAAAGCCTAAACAGCAGAGGAGATGAAACTGAGAAAGAGGAGATTATTCTGAAAATATCTGGTTAATTTATCCTGTGGCTGTTTCCATAAACAGAGATGGGGGCTTTAATGGTGGGGATTATTTGTGTATCTTAATTTTTTTGTATTAATCCACATTTTTAATTGAAAGAAAAGTGGAGTTCTTTGGGTGTGTGTTTATGACAGTGATATTAGAATTAGTGGCTAGGAGAGAAAATAGAACTCAAGAGGTAGAGAAAACAAGGATATAAACCCATAAAACCATTTCTAAACCCCTGTTTCTTGAGTATCTTAAAAAAAAAAGTCATTTTGGTAATAAATAGCCACCATAAATACTTTTTTTTTTTAATCTGTTAATTTTAAAAATATGAGCAGGAAACACTCTGAGTTCTGTTTGTTCACTCTGTTATGGTACAGTTTTAGTTGTTTCATACCGTTTAATTCATGCTCAAATTCCTTTAAATCTTGTTTTGCTTGAAAATAAACTTCCCTACACAAGGGCCCTATTTTCTACTTATTTTTCAGCCTGGGTTTCTCTCACCCTGAATTTTTAATCCTGAAGGATTCAGGATTTTACCTGCTAAAATCCACCCACTTATTCATTGCCATTATCCCAAAGCTCTGAGCATTCCCCTCCATCCGTCCTGGAGCAGGAATTTCGCTGTCCTGTATTTTTTGCTCCCAAAATTTTCCAATTTTTGCCCAGAAATTGTTCTTTTGGAGGAATATCAAGCCACCAGCTCTTGTATATCTTGGTATTATTATTATTATTATTATTATTATTATTATTATTATTATTATTATTATCATCCCAGTTATTTGGGACAATTAAAGAATTATGGGATCAATGGGACCCTAAACAGACTTTGGTAGAAAGAGGGGACTGGCAGTGTCACTGAAGTTTTAATCCTATTTACCCCTCCTTTCCATCTGAATTCCATGTGCATGGAAATATCTATAAATTCTTAATGCAAGAGGTGCTGAGGAAAACCAGGAGGTTTGGCCAAGTTGTTTTTTGAAGGCAGTTTAATCAGCAAAATCCCAAACCTTTCCCTTTAGCAGAGAGTTGGAACAACTGAGCTTGAAAGTTGTGGGATTTGAAATTTAAGGGATTCTCAAAACACAAACATTCACAGTGAACAGGGCTTTATTTATAAAATATATTTATAAGCAAAACCTTTAAGATAATTTTTAATTTATTTTAAATTTATTTATATAATTTAGTCCTGATTTATCACCAGTCTGTTCTTGCTCTGCCTCAATATTCTCTTTTTGAAGGGATAATTTTCCTTTAAGCAGCACCAGCACTAATTTTGGGCTGCTCCCACTCCTCAAAACACAAATCCATTTACCCTGGGATATTCCTGTCAGCTCCCAGGGACTCCAAAGGAGTTCTTGTTCCCACTCCTGTGGAAATCCTGGGATTTCTGCCCCTGCCATCAACCAGAACAGGCTTGGGCAGGAGAAGTCAATTCACCTAGCCATAATTCCACATTTTATTTCCAACAAGTGCCCCCCTCAGAGCCAAAGCAAGCTGAGAGCAGAGTGGTGGTGACTGGAAAAAATCCTTCAGAGTGGGCACAGAAAGGCCTTTTTATTAAATAATTTGACAATTAACTAGCCCACACATCAATTCCCAGCTCGAGTGCCGTTTGTTTAAAAATATATAGTTCCACTAAATAGAAAAGCCATTTAAAAAGATTTTTGCAGACTATTTTTGGAGGCCTGCTGCAGTGGCTTTTATCTTCTGGTTGAATTGAACTTCAGCAGGAAGAAATTAGAGCTTGAGAAAAAGCCAGGCTGGCTAAACCAGTCATAAATTTAAACCCAGCATTAAGGATTGTTTTTAAGCACGGCTTTGCCTCAGAAACAGTTTCTGAAAAATCTACATCTTCATTTGTGGCCCTGCCACTTCATTTGTGGCTTTGGAGTTTGATTTGCTCCCAGCTGGAGCAGGAAAATGGTGAATTTTGCTGTAGGACCCCTCCTCCAGCTCATCCCAGCTGGCCCCAGCCCAGGGATGAACTGCCTTGGACTGCTTGGGACAGCAAATTTCTTCCCTTTTTTTTCCATGGATAACAAACAACTTCAAATTCCCCAAATATTTTTTTCCCCTCAAAGTCCAAAGGCACAAAAAAGAAAGGAAAATCCTCTTGGGGAACAATGTGGAAAGAGAAATTTTAATTTAATTTGAAGGTCTGGAGCTTATTCCAGCAGTTTTCTGGATCCATGAGGGAGCCAGGCTTATCTCTGACTTCTGATAAATCTTGAAATATTTAACCACAAATATCTGAACTTTTCCAGGAGCTTATTTTGCTTTTATCCAATGAGTCTATGAGAGAAAAAAAAAATATGTAATTATTTGCTCTAGTATCCATCCACTTAGTCCTGTGTGTTTATTATGAATAATTCCTTGGCTGGGGAAAAAAAAAATCTGAGTTGCTCATAAACCCCCTGTTAGTAGGAAATGCTGAGATTTGGTATTTACAGCTATTAAAAACTGCATCAAGGAAGCTGCTTTAATAACCTGAGGCATGGGGGTTTAGCTTTATGAATTGAACTGTAGAATTTCTGTATTTTTAAAGTTTTCAAGGTTTCATTGTAGGCTTTGAAAGAGCTGAATGTGCCTAGCAGGGGGTGAGACTCCAGATTATGGACCCATATTTTGGTTATTCGACTCTGCCTTAGCCCCCATCTCTTTGCTGGTGGTTTTATGTTCTAAAGTCAATTTTGAAAGTCAGTTTTGGGGTCAGTTGTTGGAATCTGAAATGCAGAGAACTCTCAGAACTTCGGGCCTGGAAGCCAAAGCTTAGAATGAAACCCAGGATTTGATCTGAGACCTTGGAAAAGGCTCCCAAACTGAGGTGCTGGAAGGGAGAATGTGGATTTGTAGTTTAAAGCAGAGACACGTTGAGCTAAGGAAAGGAAAGTTTAGAGTTTTAGAGTTTAAGATATAAAAATAAAAGTAGTTCCAGAGGTAAACAAGGAGTTCGGAATGCAGCACTGCGGGTTTGTGTGTCAGAACATGACTGGCTGAGAAAGCTCACACTGTAACATGGGTCCGTAAGATGAAATATTTAAGGATTGGGTCAAAAACATAAATATCCTTTGTTTTATTGGTCAATAAATCCATAAAAAAATCTTGTAACTGAGGGTCTTGGGACCTTCTGAACCATGATGTGAAGATGTGAGCTGAACTCACCCTTCCTGCCTGTGGAGAAGATAAGAAAAAGGAATCACATCACCTAAAAAACTCAGAGTTCCCATCCCTAACTCATTCAAAATTCATCAAAAATCCCCATAGTCAGTGCTGTACCTTTACCTCCTGCTGATTTTCCTGGGCTTGGAAATAAACCCGTCAGAATAAAAATATTTTCAGTGTTTATAACAAGGAAAATCAGTCATTATTGCACAAAGAATTTTAGGCTTGAATTTTAGACGTGAACCCTGAGATTAAAAAATGAAATGTTGGATAATATTATGACCTTTGACCCTTTGAATCCTGTGGAAAAATGTGCATTTCCATGAGGAGTCATTTTAAAATAGGTGATGAGTTTGAGAAAAGCAAGAGCCATCCATGAGTTACAGTTTTTAAGAGAAAACATCAACTCCAGTTGATGAGGTTGGTCAGCTTGATTGGGGTTTTGTAATGTCAGAAAGTCTCTAAATTGAAGGGATATTTATAGGGATATATATGTGTATATATATATATATATATATATATATATATATACACACACACACTTATTTATTTATTTTTAGGGAATTTATACACAGCCACCCATGAACTCTATTTTTTTTTTTTTTTTAAGGGAAATTCTCCTGCTAAAAATGGCTCTTTCATACCAAGGGCCAAACATTCAGGAAAAAAAAAAGTCACTCTTAACCAAAGATAAAATAATGAGAAGAGGGTTGTAAGTGATGCTCCTTGCAATTTTGACATGTTCTGAAAATGAAATGTCCATCACCAGAAAAATTTTTAGATTTATTTTTTAAAATGCAGGTGATCAGGATATTTATGAAGACACCTATTGACATTTGCAGGAAGTTTGTCCCCTTGTATTTAGAAATAAACAGAAGAATTTCCAGGCATGACTCACAGGGAGATTTTGTGTTTTCCTTCCTCCCTGACAAAAAATTGGATGTGGGGTGTTCCTGCAGCAAGCCCTCACCTGTTTGTGGCTGAAAAGGAGCAGCCAGTGCATTTCAAGGGCAACTTCTAGAGAAAATTACATAAATGAAGCAATGTAGAAAATACCCTTTCCCATTCCATCTTTTTCTTTTTCTTTTTCTTTCTTTTTCTTTTTCTTTTTCTTTCTTTTTCTTTTTCTTTTTCTTTCTTTTTCTTTTTCTTTTTCTTTCTTTTTCTTTTTCTTTTTCTTTCTTTTTCTTTTTCTTTTTCTTTCTTTTTCTTTTTCTTTTTCTTTCTTTTTCTTTTTCTTTTTCTTTTCCTTTTCCTTTTTCTTTTTTTTCTTTTTCTTTTTTTCTTTTTATTTGTCTTCTTCTTTTTCTTTCTTTTCCTTCCTTCCTTCCTTCGTTCCTTCCTTCCTTCCTTCGTTCCTTCCTTCCTTCCTTCGTTCCTTCCTTCCTTCCTTCGTTCCTTCCTTCCTTCCTTCGTTCCTTCCTTCCTTCCTTCGTTCCTTCCTTCCTTCCTTCGTTCCTTCCTTCCTTCCTTCGTTCCTTCCTTCCTTCCTTCGTTCCTTCCTTCCTTCCTTCTTTCTTTTTT